TTGATATAAAAGCTGATTCTGAGTTTGTAACTGAAGACTGTCAGCTGGATTCAGGAGCAGGCCGTCATTCACCTGCTTGCTGCTGATACATTTTCAGGTGAAGGACGTGGTGCATCGTTTGTCTTCACATGTGAAGAATTACTGTGAAGAGAGAACCAAATGAATAATGCCACTATTGTAATGGAACATAACACCGGATCACACTGTGTCACAAAGATATGTAAAGTTTTAGTCATGTAGTTGAACTTGAGTCACAGGTGAAGACTGTTTATCTTACATTTTTATATCTTTTCAGACAGGAAGAAATGCCTAAATGAACAGGTGAATGAGCATTTTCTGGGTCATCATCAAGCCCTCTAACGTTCTCCTCCACCCCCCCTGCTCCCATGTGTCCCTTACCTCACTTTAATTGGCTACCCGCTTCGTTACAAGTAGGGCCCACTGCTCCAGGCTGTCTGGCCTTCTTCGTTCTCAGCATAGATCTCTCTGACAGCTGTCTCCGTATGATGATCTTGCAATGACCTTCAACTATCTCACATGTCCAGTTTTCAGCTTCTCCTGTTGGGTTGTGTTGGTCAAAAGGAGCACTGACGGAGGAGCGGGCTGGGGATCTTTGAGACGGACTGGATGAGCTGAAGGATGAATTGCAGGAACTGCAGGAGCAAGAAGATGAGCAGCAGGAGGAGCAGCAGGAGGCAGATGAGGAGCTTGGAGAGGAGACTGAGCTTGGTGTGAGGTTCGAAGGAGTATCAGGGAGTGTGTTAGGAGGAGGCTTGACCTTGGAGGCTGCACAACTCGTAGGTGTTGGTGTTCTTTTAAGAATCAGCCATGGATAATATGGCTGCTTGACATTTGGAACTAATTCGGCCGTCCAAATGTAGCCCTGATTAACCTGAAGACAAACAGAAATAAATACAAATTTAATCTGCGGCAATGTTGGCAACAATTATTTACAACACTGTTCTAGTTGAACCACTACAATGAAGTGTTTCATCAATAAAAAAATACTGTTTATTATGACTTTTGTTTTCAAAATATACAGTTTAATATATATATATATATATATATATATATATATATATATATATATATATATATATATATATATATATATATATATATATGTGTGTGTGTGTGTGTGTTTGTCCAAATAATAAAAGGTAATTAAAGTAAATACTGTATATAAACAAAAAACTTTATTTAAAAAATCCATTAAATATTAGCTTATACCTGTTTTGAATTTGCACGTGGCTAAGACTGTTATTTGATTTATTTTTAAACTAATGATACAAGACTTATATTTTGCTAACTTTAAATGTTATTATGGTCTAAATGTGTCTGGTTTTTTTTTTTTTGTAATCAGTGGTAAATTTGATCAAACGTCGATTAAATTTTATAATTTCACCCATTAAAGTCGCAGCTAGCTTAACGGAGTTGTAGCATTTTGATTACTGCGGGATTTTACAAATGCATGATTGTTAAAAAATTAATAATTAAATTTTAAAAACTCACTTTTTTCATGATGAAGCTTCAGCCCTTGGTGTTAACAGGTGGTTGATGTTAGAAGAAGAAAGTTGTGGAGCTGAAATCGTGTTTTTAAAGTTAAAACCAACAAACTTTTATGCTAGCAGACTGTTTTAATCACGTGCTCTGATGGAAACTGACCATCTTCACCAGACTGGTCAAACTTTGCTTTTTAATGTCTAAAATTAGTTTCTGTTTCTTTAGGCTGAACTAACACTACAGATTTATTTATTTTTATTTCTATTTTAATTCAGTTTACTTAGATATCTGGCTTTACAATGACGCTTCACAATTGAAAAAAGTAAGTTTATGTATAAAGTACTGTCAAAATGCAAGTATTGTCAACATGCAAGCACTGTCAACATGCAAGTACTGTCAACATGCAAGCACTGTCAACATGCAAGTACTGTCAACATGCAAG